AGATGAATATTTTACAAGTCCTAAGAGGTGATATTTATTGGCAACAAGAGAGAATAAAAGTCTTGTTTAACGGTTATAAATTATACTTTGCTCCCCCTTTATTTTGAACTTTGATAATTGGCACCCGTATAGTTTACAGTTTTGACAATTGGCACTGTATAGTTTGCAGCTTTGATAATTGGCTCCCTAGTAGTTTGTAGTTTTGACACACAAAATTCTGAAAAGAACAACAATCAATGCATTATCCTTAATTCACACACTAACCCTAATTTAATTTATTTTGACTAGTTTAATTTTAGTTAACTAACACAATTTACCTATTAACTTAATTAAATTATGTCTTAATTAGGGTTAATCAGCGCGCAGTCAGGCAGGCTAGGTAGCAGCATGAGGGGCGTGCAAGCCAGAAAGGGGGCTGACCAGGCCAACAGGTGTGTAGCAAGCAAGCTGGGCAACAACCTGGGCTGCCTGGGCGCTAAAAACACTATAGGCTCTGATTTAGGCGCCAAAAGTGCTAATTTGTGCAACTTTGGAGGGCCAGGCAGCGCTGGACTGCCCCGTTTGGGCGAACATAAGGGGTTAGGCACTCCCCAGGTGCTGGGCCGCCCTATTTGGGCGAGCAAAGGTAGTCAGACACCTCTCCAAGTGCTGGGCTGCCTCGTTTGAATGAGCATAGGGTGTCAAGCACCTCTCTAGGTGTTGGGCTGCTCCGTTTGGACGAGCATAGGGGGTCAGACACCTCTCCACGAGTTGGGCTGCCCCATTTGGGCGAGCAGAGGGGGTCAGGCACCTCTCCAGGTGCTAGGTTAAACACTGCAGGTGACACGGAAGTTTTGGGCGCCGCTTTTTGCTGATCACGATCTGACTCCTCCGAGTGTAACTTCTAAAACCCACATTCCTCAGGACCTCTTAGGTGGTGGCTTAGGTCATTCCTTGCGCCCCTCGTAGTAAGAAACACAAAGATAGAGTGGTACTTGATGATGATGGGTCCAAGGTAAGTACCATTTTCAGTTTGTTCAATTTGGATAAAGATATTTTGAGGATCGTTTCTACTTATTGTATTCCTCCGACCGTGTTGTGTCGGCTGGCTAAGACGAGTGAGCTTGCTTGCGACGACTCCTCGAGTGATATTGTCGTTTATGAGGAGATGCTTCAGGCTGGACTCAAATTCCCTATGTCTTCTCCCATTTGTCACATTCTGCATTACTTTTTCTTAACCCTGAGACATTTAGAACCTAATGGTTGGAGGGTCTTGCTGGGCTTTCTTGTTTCGTGGAGGAAGGTGCATCATGAAGATGGTTCTCCTGTGGAGTTCCATGCAGCTTACAACTTGAGTGAGACTCTAGCCTCAAATAGAGGTTGGTACTATTTTATCACAAGAAGTGGCACGGTGCTCATGGGATTACGCTCCAATTGCCACAGCTGAAAATCTCTCTTCTTCGTCGGGGGGGAGTGGATTGCAGAACTCGATAGGGATTTGGTACCAATACGGTGGGGTGATGCTAGAAAACCCGGTACGTCGTACATTTACTCTCTCTCTTTTATATATATATATATATATATGTATGTATGCTCACCATTTCTTTGCAGACATGTATGTACACTCTCAAGACCAAAAGTGGAAGTTGCAGGTCGTAAAGGCTTGCCCTCACAAAGATTTGGGAGTTCTTTTGCCCAAGGATGCTAGGGTCGTTGCTCCCTCCTCGAAGTTTGGTGGGTCCTCTTTAAAGAAGACGGGTGAGTTGATTTCCTCATTTAATTTTCTCCTTCCCTTGGTATTTTTCATCTGCATGACACTTTACTGCTTTTGCAGCAAATAAGAGGGTGGTAGTGTCCCGCTATTCCAGTAGGAGCCTTCCTTCTTCAAAGGTGGCAACGACGGGTGATGCCCCCAAGTGCCTCCTACGGTGCTACCTCCTCAGCCGACGACTTTTTCAGTTGCAACTCCAAAGTCTTCCTTGTCGGGCACACCTTCTGCTCCTCCTTTGTCTCCTCCTCATATGAGAACTTCTACAAGAGGACCAACTTGGTCTAGTTCCATGTTGGGCAGACCACCAATCATCAAGGAAAGACTTGGGAGGTTTGTGTGTGCACCCGAAATCTGTCAGTTTAGTACTTTGGGCACTGAGATGGTTGTCAACACATATTTGGAAGGCCTGACTCAGGTAAGGGTCCGCTACTTCCCTTTCTCCACTTCCTTTTTATGTCTTTTGTCATTTCTCCACCTTTTATCTTTTTCAAGTTTCGACTTCATCTATCTGCTTGCTTTCAAGGGTCTATAATCACGACAAGCTGAACCTGGATCTTGACGTTGCGTAAAATGAATTTGCACACCACTTGTCAAATGGTTGAAAATAAATGCAGTAATTGAAAGTAAAGAGAGTTGGGGTAGACAATATTTATAGTGGTTTTGTCAACATGACCTACGTTCACTTTTGAATGGTCTTGATCGTCGAGTACTTTATTAGCTCAAAGGTGTAGAGAGCAGAGAGTACAAGCTTTGAGGGAGAAAAGAGAGTTGTGCTCAGGTAAAAGTGTGATGCCCTCCAAGTGTTGGTGAGACTTACAATTTATAGGCGCCCGCTAACAGGTTGGGACGACTTTACAGCAACTAAATAACTATTTCGGTGGAGCTCACGACTTCTTCTCAACATACAAGGTGGTTGAGGTGCTCTTCATGAAACATGGTCAAGAATGAGGTGTTCTCTCTCTTGATGACGTAGACAAGCTGATAAGTTTAACTGGACTTGGATCATATTAAGTTTGGTGAATCTTTATAAGATTATGCTTTTTAGTTGAGATTGAACTTTTCACATGAATTGAGTTATTTGGACTTGACCATCAATTAGTATTTATAGTCAATGTCTCTGTAGTCAATGTCTCTAATCTGGATGAGTGGAACAAATGATTAAAAACCTACTTTAGAGGAAATAGGGATGAAACTACGATTTCGAGCGAAGCTATTAGCCGCCCTATTACCATCGCTCATGTATCTCCCAGCCAGAAAGCAATTAATATGATAAAAGCATCCCTGTAGACCTCATTAACGGTTCCCTTCTGCCTAGTGCTTGTTTCTATTTTTCCTTATTTTTAAAAGCAGCAAATTTCTGTTTGTAGAATTTGGCTTTGTTTTGAAAGCATGGTAGATAAAAAAAACAAAAAAATACACACAAAAGCGTTTATATATTTTTTTGGGCAAAATTAAACCAAAAATAAATGGTTACCAAACACAACTTTATTTATAGGGTTCCAACACAAAAAAGTTAGTATAATTACAAATTACACCACTTATATTTTGAATCGATCTGAAAGGATACTCTTATAATTTTGCTTATTACATTAAATCCCAATGTTTGATTTCGAATTTGATTTGATAACCCCTCTCTCATGACGAATAATTAGAGATGGTCACATCAGCAGTGATGTCAATAAACATTTTATTTGAACTATATATTTTACCTTTCTTACAGACTCGAACCTAACTTGATGCAAACCCTCGGCAACTCCACCTAAACATTAAGCATAACCTCGTCGCCCTATCCCAATGCCCAATTTGAAACCAAAGCCCCCTCCCGCCATCGCCCCCACGCCTATCCCAACCTCAACATTAAGCAATATCATGTGATATAATCATCCACTAATAGGTAAACAAGTCAACACGTAGGTCTCACTAAAACTCATAACTACCCAATTATGTAATACATAATCACTTCCATGATAGAAAGTAAGTCCAATTTTGTTATTTTTTTATTAGATGGTTATATGATGCCAGTAATATTGATATGGTATAACGGTTACACCTAATATTTACTTCTCAATCACATGCCGCATCTCGTTTGTCTAATCCAAAACCCAAAGCCTTTGAATATATAGGAAGGTCTAGATTTTGTTTGGGTTGATTTGAAGTTGTGTTTGGAATAAGTTTGATTTTGTCTTAATTAGGGTTTAAATTATTGTGGAAATTGGTTTATTTTGTCTGAATTGATATTCAAGTTAGATTTGGTGACAAGCATAGAGTTATCAGCTTAGAATTTGATGAAGGGCAAAATAAAAAAAAATTCATTTCTGTCAACGGCGTTAATCGACATAATCTATCAGGGGATGTGTAATTGCTCAAACTAAAAAGATACTGCATAATAGTGCATACTAATATATATATATATATAAGTTGGCCGCCATTCTTATTGGAATTATATTTAAGGATATATTGTTTGTGCCTTAGACAGACCTACGGCAGTGACATTTTAGTTGACATCTGTCAATTATTAACTGTATATATTAATGATATTGATACATTACTCTCTTTTTCAATCGATCGTTTGCATAGTCATGACCTAGAAATTCATGTCGATCCGAATCAACAAAATCGTCGTATTTGGAATTTTTGGACTCGTGAGAGCTCTGGCACACTCTCATTCCTTAACTAGGCCAAGCGAAATGAAAACATCAATCCTTTTTTTTTAAGAGAAAAAAAAACTCAACAAAATTTTAATCGTAACTATATAAAAGAGCCGACTATATGAATCCTAATTTTTTTAATTGTACTTTATCAGGTATCATACATTTTTGTCAGACCTTACGCTATCATATTCTTGTGTTATGTTGTTGTACATTCCATATTGGCATAGCTCCAAATCCACTCTTACCACAATTATATGTCTGCGGTTGGTTTAATAAGGCCAGGGCAGCGGCCGGTTCCAAAGGAAATGTCACAATGGTGTCCTGATTCATTTTGAATTTTGTAATTTGAAAACATATAAAGGGGAGTTGTTGGAGAGAATCTTGGCCTTTTTTGGCCCCAAGCTACAAATCCTCAAAAGGCTCCACATTTTTTTTTTTTTGAATAGAAATTGTGTTTTTTTATATAAATTCCAGAACCTTCTCCTATTAAATAATAAAATTTTCAATAAATCTCGCCAGTTTAGTTAAAGCTAAAAGTCATTCTATTATCATTTCTTCGAACCACCATAGTTGTCTCATAATAACTAAAGCTTTGGAGTTCAGTCATCACACTGTCCAGATTTCCATTCACAGGTCCCATTTTCACTTGGTTTCCAGTGCATTAACAGATCTAAAAAACTGAATTGAATCTCTCCTTCTAGACTAACCTGCGACAAACCTTGAGCACAAGCAAAACACATGGCCTCCTTCATAGCAATGGCATACACACCCATAGAAACTTTCCTGGGCTCAACTTTCTTGGCCATCCCGCTATTAAAACTCCATTGTGGTCCCTTATAACAACTCCAACTCCCACATACGGACCTTCCGAAAGCGAAACCCACAAATATTAGCCTTCGACAAATCAACTGTAGGAGGTGTCCAAGATGCAAGGATTGATGCTAATGGTCTTTGAATATCATTGGATTGCTGGTATCTATCTAAAAATTCTCTAGCTTCTCTGACAATAATTGCAGGGTTCTTTGAGGATCTAGAGTGAACCATCTCATTTCGATGTTTTCAAATCATCCAATACTGAACAAGAAATAAAGCAAAATCGTCTGGATCCAAGATAGAATGTGTATACTTAACTCAGCTTCCCTACGACACACATTACATAGATTGTCCAACTTAATTTTCCTTCGCCATAGATTCTCGTTAGTTGGCAGAGCTTCCAATCAAAACCGCCAGATGAAGACCTTAATCTTATTTGGAATTCTTTGCTTCCATAGAAAATCCCAATTCACATAACCTGGACTAGAAGACGCTTGCTGGGTACTAACCTTCGTTTGCTCCACTGTAACAAAGTAGGCGCTGCATTATGTATCCTAATTTTCTTAAAGAAGAACCTTGATGTGCAAAACTAAGTTTACAAATGATTGTATTCATGTAGAGTTTAGTTATTATCACGGTTCGAGAATCTTTGTTTGGAATGGTTCGTTTGAGGTCAAGAATCTTTGTTTGGGATGGTTCTTTTTCATCAAACTAGAAAAAATGAAGAAGAAAAAGATAAAATAAAATAAAAGGGTTAGTGTACAATAGTTATGTCACAATGATAGAATTGATGCCAGGGTAAGAGGCTCGACTTCGACGTCATGAAGCTCTTCTCTTGTACTGATCATCTTAAATCATCTTGCTCCCAGGACAAGTTTTTGTGGAAAATTACAAACCAATATCTGAAAGAAAAAAAAAGTGCGATGTTGAGTCATCTTGCATGTGAACAATTGTCTGTGTTGGAAATCATATGCGTGTATGAAAGCTTAGGATCGAATAAGACTCATATATTTATATGATTTTTTTTCAAATGTACATACTCACGTACATGTTTATATTCATTTTAAGATCGATGAAAATACATTTTCAGATTGCATTAGTCAAACGTTGTCAAAGTTTGTGTATATTTATTATCAGACCAATTTTAGCCACTACTAGATATGGATGGGTGCTAAGTTTCAAGTTCAGATAATATAATTCCCTTTGGTTGATGTAATTGAAAATTGAAAATAAGTTTCATTAGAAGGGAAAAGCAGTTTCAAAGGATTGAGCTCTAGACAACAAAAAACATAATTTGGCAAATCAATCCAAAAAAAATGGTGACGGCAAGGTCTGTCGAGTATCTGATGTAGTATATAGAGAGATTATATTCACGAGCGACTCTAACCCTTGACATCCAAATCATAATTTAACAATCTTATGACTATGCTAAGACCCACCACCCTCCGGGGATATAATCAACAGTTGCTAATGAATGCTAGAGTAAGCCAGATTATGACTAACAACAGATGACATTTAGGGATGTTAAACAAGTCAAGCTTTAATATTTTTTAAAGCTCTTTTATGTGTAAATAGTCAAACGAGCCAGCTCGTTTATGTATAAATTTAACTCGATTTAGGTTCGAATTCAGCTCAATTAACACCCCTAATGACATTGGCCGAGGAAGGGAGAACTTTGAAATCTCAAGCTCTGGGCCTAGCTATCCCCCAAACTCCTCAAGGGAAAAACTATGTCTAATGGCTTCCTCTGCCAATGGAAAGTTCTCTACTAGTTCCACCTGGGAGATATAATCAGGGATCAGGGATGGAAACTAGTTTATGTATTTTGATGCGGATGTTTGAAGTTCAATGCCAACATTGTTGTAGCATGCAGTGCATGGTGATATTGAAACAATATAAGCCCTAAATCCTCAATCTTAAACTTAAAAATGAACCTTGAAAAGCAAAACATCCTCACTCATTGCACAAAAGGGTTTCATACTTACTAGTACATGCAAATCTAGAAGGACTTTTGTTCTCAGATACCTCAGGGATCTAACCCTAGGGCACTGTTGGGAACATAAACATAACCCACAACTTATTTCAAATTCAGCTTATTTCTATTCATACAAGATCATACAAGAACTTTAACTACACTATTAGGTGGGCTAAATTTAAGGCCTGGCTTCACCATTCATGAAGGCTCTAGCTTCTTCAGCGCTATAGCAGCACCTGCACCATCCACCACCTCCGCCGCCACAGCAGCCGTATCGGCAATATCCTCCTCCTCCTCCTCCTCCTCCTCCTCCCCATCCGCCACCACCTCCTCCCCAACCGCCACCACCGTGTCCACCCCCTCCCCAACCGCCACCACCATGTCCACCCCATCCGCCGCCGCCACCACGTCCACCCCAGCCACCACCATAACCGCCATAACCTCCGTAACCGCCTCCATATCCATAACCATCTTTCTTGTCAGCCATCAGATTTGGGTTCCCAGGTACATCCGCTGCACAGATGAACAACAATAGTCACGTTTGATACTTTAAATAGGTTGCAAACACCATAACTAATATTTTTATTGTATTACCTATATGGTAATAAGGGAGTTATGGGGGGTTAAAGGGTGATTAAGAGTAGTTAAAAAGTATGGTTAATAACATTTTTTGTCTCTAAAGTATGTATTTTTTTCTTAGTTTAATTCTTATTGTATCAATTTTATTAATTTAATCCCTAAAACATTCAATTCGTCTCGTTTTGATCCCTACATAAACGGACAAATTTTTTAAAAAATAATTGCCTATTGGACAGGTAATACTACTTAAAAAATAACACATAATGACTTCCATAAAAAAAAACTTGATGATTGTGTGAATTAGATATATGAGTCTCACCAGCAGTGCAGCATCTTCTGCACCCATAGGGACCACCACTTCCACAGCAACCATATTGGCAGTGGCCTCCACCTCCGCCTCCACCTCTGCCTCCACCTCCGTAATGGATGGTTTCCTTTGCATCATTTACTGCACAATCAAACAGAACCATTTATAGATATTAAGTTTGCATAGCGGGTTCAATCATTTACCATTAAACTCATTAATTCTAACCTAAACCTATGCTGGTTTGCAGATTGTAGCCGGAATTCTCAGTGCTACTTCTAATTCATAAAAACTAACATTTTTTCACATGTGAATGAAACAATATTCTGCATTTTTTTTTTTTTGGGATTAAAGTCAACCAGAATTGCAATTATAGTGGGAACTGTTCTTCTCTTGACGGTTGATAAAGTATAAAAAAAAACTTGAAACTTAATGAAAAAAATAAAAAAATTATGGATATAGTAATGCTATTGAGATATAAAAAATGCCAACCTTTTTCGGGTGTGGCTTCAGTTTCCATGCGCGCCGCAGCTTCTTCTGCGTTACAACCAAAACATAGGAGTATCAATCTATAATATGTGTCGTTACTAGAAATATCATTCAAAAAACTTGTGCATGGAGAGGCTAAAAGTACTATGTGAAAGCTGTGTATGAAACTATGACTGCATGTTACATTTAAATGAGGCCATCTTTGCATTTATACTGCCAATACACATACACACACTTGTGATGTATGTATACACTCTATATATTTATACACACACAGAGTATGCAGGGCGGCTGAACTTTTGAACAATTCTACATATGGCATGTTAAGGGACTTAACTTTATTTAAACTTAATACAATTGTCCCCCTAACTTTTTGAGAATTAATAGTAAAGTTTTTTTTTTTTAAAAAAAAATCAACTTAGTGGCTCGCCACCTCGAAACAAATATTTTATTTTTGGATTGAGAAAAACAAATATGAAATGCCCTAAACCGAATATATATTGACTAAAATAATACATTTCTTCTATCCAATACCCCTTATTTTTTAAAAACAAGTGTATAGTTATCCCTAACCCATTTTCTGCAAGTACGTAGCCCACAATTCAATAGTAGATAATCAAAAGTAAAAGGTAAAATGCCTCGATTTCAAGAATTTCCTACTTTTTCTAGAATCAATTTCTTAATAAGACGGAGAACGGTCTTGATTAGGCTTGCAACATAATAATTTTATCATGAAATTTGTTATTGTCTATACTTAAAAGAAATTACTGTGACAATTAGTTTAAAATCAATTACTTCTAGTCAATTTTTGAGATTTAAAAGTTATTTGTTGATCACATTTTAAACGATATTTTATTTTGTAGTTACATAGAGTAATTTAATCTTTGTTCTAAATACGCATTTTCATGCTTGAATTTGAAATTTTTTGTATCAATTAGTGAATTTCTTTTAGTCATTTTTTGCCCGTTTTAAGAGAGGATCCTGGTTCCGCCCCGACAGTATGTGTATACAAAATCACCATAACCAATATTTTTTTGTTGTATTATGGGAGGTTAAAGGGTGATTAAGTGTTGTTAAAAACCAATATAGATATTTAATTATTGGATTTCAAACCTCACTATCTACCTTCATTTATGGCACGTGAATAGACATAAAAATTGATATGATATATTAGTATATGTGTATCTGAATTAAGTATTATATCAAATTTATCAGACTTAATTTTTCATTACTCATATTCTATTATAAGATTATGAAAATTTAGTATATTTCTAAAATTCGTTATTCTAACTATAAGAAAAAAGATTAAAAAATAGTTAAAGTTCTTTTTTTTTTTTTAAGAATTTTATGATTGAGAGTATTTTTTAGTAATGTTTGAGAAATAAGATTTCACTTATAATACCTTGAATAAAATAAAAGTAATTGTTAATATACTACTTAATTATATTGGAACTTTACTGTAATTAAAAATTAGTTGGGTCAATTAGGATAAGATTTAATATAATACTCTATAATATATATTTTAAAAAATATCAAAATTTTAAAAAAATTAAGTTTTGCTTAAGAATACAGTATAAACTATTTTCACATAAAATCTTAATACAATTTAAAAAGTTTATTGTAAACTAAAAAATTATATTGATGTAGCATAAATTAATTTTAATAAATTATATATAATTATTTTTTATCTTAGAAATAAAAGGGTTAAAATTTTTGAATAAAAAAAAATAAACATATATGCGGATAATATTATTTTTGCATATGAAATGAGTAATATTAGATTGATGAAACTTTTAAAAGTTTTTTGAACCCTTACTGAAAATGTAATGATGCATATTTTTTAAAGATAATATAGTGAATCAAAAAAATTTCGTAGAAATTTATATTTATATAGAGAGAATAGATAATTAAAAAAAAGTTATAGGTAATTTAGAGATTTAAATACATAAGGAAATAATGGATAATTTAAGTATTTAATTTTGTAATGATATAGTGATCTTTATAACTTTTTATAATGGTAAAATAGAGAATTAAAAAATTGCAATTATAGTGGGAACTGTTCTTCCCTCGACGGTTGATAAAGTATAAAAAAAAACTTGAAACTTAATGGAAAGATTATGTATATTGAGACGTAAAAAAATACCGACCTTTTTGGGGCGTGGCTTCAGTTTCCATGTGGGCTGTAGCATCGGCTACTTGGTTTGTCTGCTTTGCTTCATCTGCCACATAAGTTAACAAAACATGTTTAAAATATCTAATAAGAACTTGGGCCTGAATTGTGATATCCATGACGAGTAATACAACAAAACATAGGGGTATCAATCTAAAATATTTTTCCTTACTAGAAATATCATACAAAAAACTTGTGGAAACTACTATTTTTTTTTGCCTTCTCGGTCCAATCAAAAATAAGTTATCAATATCGGAACTAGGGTATTCCTTATCGTCTGACCTTATGGGATTGTCAAGATTTATACTCAAAACATCTAGATTTATACCTCATTTTTGTTACCAGTTAAGCTACTCTCGGGGTTCAAAACTAAAACTACGTGTAATCTGTGTATTTGACTGCATGTTACATTTAAGTGAGGCCATCGTTGCATTTATACTGCCAATACACAACTATATACACTATAATATATTTACACACACACACAGAGAGGGGGGGGGTTTTATGATTCTATGACCATCATCACTATATAGAAACTTTTTCTGTATAGCCTCTTGCAAAAGTTTCTTGAAAATATGAGTGGTAAACTAAGAAAAGGGAAAAGGAGATAAAAGCATTAGATGGTTAAGCTTACTCTTTTTCTCATCTTGGGATGTGTCAACCGCCACAGCCGAAGAGACCAGAAGAACAGCAGCAAACACCACAGCCCAGAAAATAAAACCCATAGACCTCATTTTAGTCAGAAAACACTTCTCACAGATTTCACAAGAAAGGTTTTAAGAGTGATGGGAAAAGCTAGTTTTGCCTTAAACCCTATTTATAGGTGCGAGGAATACTGAGAAAGATACAATGAGAGAGAGTAAGACAGTAGGAATTAAAGGGTTGTGTCTTATACCATACAAAGTTCCAAAAAAGTATGGTTGGGTGTTGGAGATTTTGGAACTTTCTATGTCTTTCAAAAAGAAAGCTTATCTATTTTTTTATTTTTTTTTTTGAAAAGTAAAAGCTTATCTATTTGATTACAGTATGTTTTGAGGCAAGAGTTGTCGACTGTACAAGGGGAGGGCTGAGAGGTAGCAACTTGGAAATGAATTTTGGAAGCTCTCAACAGGGTTTAATATGGAAATTTGTCTCATCATACTAACACTTTCTTGTCAGATTCTTAGCAAGTAGCATATAGCTCATGTCATTATATTAGAAGTCAAACTTTCTTTAAGTTTTCTATTTTTGTGGTTGTGTGTGTGAGAGAGAGAGAGCGCGAGCGCTTCGTAATGCCTTTGACATGAAGGATGTAGACCACTTCATTATTTTTTAGGGAAATAGTATTTGGATCTTATTTACAAAGTTAGTAATATTAGATTTGTTGTGAGTTTTATCTAATATTGAAATTCACAACTAATCTAATAATTATATTAAAATCATATTATTAGGACCCTACAACATTGCTCTTCTTTTTAGGACTTGAACCACTACAAAATTAGGGCTCACCCTCATAAAAAATTGTGTTGTGAATAAAATAAAAATTGTGGTGATAATAGTATCACAAAAAAATTATTTATTGTTTCAAATATTATTTGAGACGTCATGTTGTCTCCACAAAGATTTTTTGAGACATAATAAGTGGAGTCTCAAAAGCCTTTGTAGCGGCAACAAGTCGTTTCAAATAATATTTGAGATAGCAAGTGGGGTCTTGAAAAATTTTGAAGGCTGATTATTCGTAAATTCTGACCCTACCATATCCTATACAACTCTATTGATCGGCTACCGAAAGAATCGAGTAAGCCAATGAAAGACTTTTTTGGCATTCGTACCCCACACTACACACACACACACACACACACACACACACACACATATATATATATATATATATATATATATATATATATATATATATATGTTAATTACTAAAAATTAAAATCTAGAAATCTTAATGTTTTATTGATGTTTATGATTTTCCTATTGTTTTTATTATAATTTTTTATATATTATCTAATTTATTATGTTTTTTTAGTGTTATTAGTATTAGTTAATTGGTGCAGGTTACTTAATTACATTGTTAAAATAATTTAAAAATTAATAACTAAAAAATATGTATTCACCTAATTTTCTACCCAACTTCCTACTCGATTGTTTTGGACGGAATTCAGATAGGAATAGTATACTTCATTGGGTAGGGAAGGCAAATAAAAAATTCTTCTGTAAGTATAGATAAAAAAATGAAATACCATAATTCTCACCCGCGGGATAGGGTGAAAACCCCTAGCGGTAACAAACCGTCTCAAATAGTATTTGAGACACTAAATAAACTTTTTGTGATAGCACTACCACCACAAAACTATTTTTTTTTCAACAATGCGTTATTTTATGACGGTAAACACAATTAACATAAAAAAATTTATCACAAAAGGCCCAATTCTTATATGGTATAAATTCAATATACTGCGAGGACTTTTCATCAATTAGCAAAATTATGTCATTGATCTTCTTAAAAAGACCAAGATGTTTGATTTGTAAGACCTGTAAAACACCATGTGTTGCCACTTTCCAGATTGAACAAGTTTGATGGTACTCCCTTACCCTTATCTGTTTGATTACGAAATATGTTGAAGAAAGATTAGTCGACAGAAAGTGGGTGGACAACAGTTGTAGCAGTGGAAACATGCAAGTGAATTTGGAGACTTCTGAAGAGCAACTTACATCTGGAAAGTGATACTTCTCGATTGTCAAACATTCCTTTTTGGGATCTTTACGTATATATGCAGCTCAGATATTTATCCAAGTGATCAATATTTGTACTTACAAAATATTATTTGAATTTAATATAAAAACTTAAAATATAAACTTAATCTATCACTGTTATTGATCTCTTTTTATCTTTTGTCCTGCTGCATGTGTGTCTCTTTCTATTTGTTTGGGAGCAATAACTCTATATTTGTACTTAGAGATTTAATGCATGCACTGTAACAATAAGACCCATAGTGGACTTTATTCAATGCTGATACCATTGTTTATTTAAGGAGGGCAATGATGAGGGACCTAAAAAAATTGACTTAGTGACGTGAATTAATATCACATTTTAATATTTAATAGATTTTACGGTCAATCTAAAGGCTTATTTGGACTTAATTGTTCGTCTAATGGTGTAATTTTAATTGAACCACTGAATTAACACTAAATTTCAATGTTTGATTGAGTCCACAATTAATCTAAAGGTCATAGTGAATTAGGTCAATAAATTAAGTCAAAATAATGAATACAATACATTAAGGTGCGTTTAGTAATGTTTTCGTTTTTATGTTTTTAAAAAACAAAAAAAAACTAGAACAAATTTTTGTTTTTTCTGTGATAAAAATTAAAAATATAAAACATGTTCAATAATTATTTATATTTAAAAAATTAGAAAAACAAAAATAAAAAATTTGTTTGATATTATAATTGCGTTTTCATAATTTATTGTGGTTATTTTGATCAATTTTTTTAATCACAAATACATCTCCACCCAAATCGATGAAAACCCACTTCACCCAGCCATCATCGTCACCACCAAAGCACCGAAAACCCAACACCACCCAGCCACCATCGCCACCACCAAAGCACCAGAAACCCACCACCACCATCGCCACCCCCAACCTCACTGACCACCCAACCAAAACCCACCCCCAAACCCACCACCGAAACCCACAACCCACACCCACCACTTAAAACCAACACCACAACCACCCCCACTGACCATCCCCAACCATCGAAACCCACCCCACCACCACTGAAATCACAACCACCGATGTAAATCTATGTCTATATATGTATATATGGTGGGACTCCTGTATGGATCCTCAACCCCTAGGGTGACACGTAGCCCAATAAAGTCATTAGGATGTCTAGAAGATGCCGAGGGGGTGAGCCGAGGCATGGCGACACAGAGCGGCCGAGTACAACAGCTGGCGTCATAATCAAAGCGATGTGACCTCGCATTTATGGCGAAATGAGTGATGGTGACAGGACAAATAAATGTGAGACTGCCTCCAACTGCTCTCTGCAAGTCGATGCCTACTGTTATGATGGCTGGAGCATTAATGACTGATGCACCGAAACAACGCGATTGGTTCTCGAGTTCCCTGATCCGCTGAGTATTCTGTGCTCTGTCGGTGTCAGACGCCAACCTCTTGGATTGGGCTGCTCGGCTCGTAGTATAAATGCTCGGCTTGTGGCCGACCATTTACACCATTCCCCTAGCATTCAATTGGAGGAGACGTAAAGGGAAAGCATTCACAGCACGAGGGATGGTGTGTCAGATGTGAGATGTCCAGAAGAGACTGAAGATCTAGAACAATCATTGCTAATTCAGGTATAAATATCCCTAAAAAAAATGGACAAAGGTACGCAAAATCAAACCAGAGCACATCTACTAAGAAACAGCCCTTCGATCTTACTAACTTAAGCTTCGGAGGGGATCCGCCGAGCTCACGTCTGGCCCCCTTTCTTCTAACCCCGTCTTTTCAGGTTCGCCAATCAAGGGATCGCTACCTTACAAGATTGCAGGAATTATCTCGTGTAATTTGGCGCCGTCTGTAGGAAGCGAAAGCATTGCTAAGTTTTTCAGTGGCAATCGTTTGATGGTGAACACTCGATCTCAGGGTAAGGGAGTAGGTGCACGGGACAGGAACGTAGATCCCGTCTGGCTTCCAATGGTCTTGGAGTCGGGTTCATTAGGCCAATCAGATGGGCAGGGGCGCTTGTCACAAAGAACGCTCCCTATGGATTAGTGCCTTGGGGGGCGTGACCTCAGGGCCCACGACATTGTGGAGATGGTGGAGAAGCGGATGACCAAACGTATTAAACAGCTCGAGAGGGAGAACGCCAAGGTCCTACAACGCCTTGACGATTTCAAGCAGTTAGCAAGCACGGATGAACGCAGGCGCGGGGTCGAGGACCAGGTGCCCAGCCAAAGCTTGTCCAAGCCCCCCCCCCCGGCATGGGCCCTCCGGAAAGGAATGGGTTAGGCACATGCCCGAGGGACGGGACCGCCAAGGAGGGTCCTCGGCCTTTAAGGGACGATTGGAATCGGGTCAAAAGGCAGACCTATCCAGGTGGGACCTGTGCCGAGGGATACCTAAGGGCATTGGAGCCGCCGAATCTCACGCGGAGTCTATACCCCGAAAGCCTCATGGAGATAGATCAGTCAGAGATCCTCGAGTCCCCTTCATCACTCAGCGCAACAACGAGCCCGCAGTTTACTCCGACGAAGTTATTTCGCCGTTCGTCCGGGCTATCAGGGAGGCTGAAATGCCAAAAAATTTTACCGTCCCACGGTTCAAGGTATACGATGGAAAAATCGATCCTGAGAGCCATCTTCGGTAATACAGACAATTGATGTCAATCTATGACACTGACCAAAAGGGGTTGTGCCGAGTTTTTCCCATGAGCCTCGGGGATATTGGCATGAGATGGTACGAGAACCTTGCCCCCGAGAGCATAGGGTCCTGGAGACAGTTGACAGGGTTTTTCCTGGCCCGATTCATCACCAGCAGCAAGAAGCCTAAGGACATTGGCACTCTGTTGACGCTCAGGCGAAAAGGGAGAGAGACGCTCTGGCAATATGCCGTCCGATATTGGGATGAGGTCAATGAGGTGGAGGCATGTACGGAGACATTGGTTGCGGCGTCATTCAGGTTGGGGCTGTCCCGAGACACAGATTTGTACAAATCATTGACCAAGAAGGTTCTGATAGACA